TTTCCTTTCATCTCATGCCTTGAAAATGCCTAGCCTTTAACAGGGTTCGTAGCGGTCCTTACAAGCGCTAAGTCCTTATATTTGAAAATAAAATATAAAGGCCCTTATAGGTGCTTACTTTTTCTTTAACCCTTTGATGGTTATGAACAAGTTCAACTTGCAATCGAATCGTGCTTCATATTGCGCGCAAACGAGTTCCGCTCGGGAGCAAGATTTTGACCGAAATGGTTAGTAAGGAGCACTACTCGCGTAGTGAAATTTTTCCCCAATGCGTGCTGACTTAGTTTGCCATAATTATTCTGCACTGATTGTGTTTCAAACGAATGCTACTCGCGAAATTTAGTTAGTTTTACTGTCTACAGATGGCAGTACGAGTTCCATGAATTTCTTTGCATAATGAAGGTGGATTTTTTTTTTTTTTTTTTGACCTTGTTCATTTTATACGTATTTTGGCATGGTTTTTAGGGTGTTTGTACACTAAAATGGCTCAAAAGCGAATGTTAGATAGTTATGATGATGATTATGATTGTGATACAGAAAGCTTATCAAGTTTTGAATCTGATGAAGACTTTGTTCACAGTATTTCAAGCTCAGAAGACGATTCAAGCGATGAGGAAGATTTTCGAGTGTTCGACGGTCGTGTATAATTGATTCAAGTTCTCACGCTCCTAGCCGATTTAGGTTTTACTGGTGATGTAGGCATGAAAGCTTGCGTGACAAATATTTCTGATCCACTAGAGTATTTTGAGCTGTTTTTTACTGATGAGATTATAAATCATATTGTTACGGAAACCAACATTTTTGCATAATGCCCCATTATGTGCAATTCCATGTTTTAAAGTATATCACACACAAAAAGATTTTTAGGTAATTACTGTATTTATTCTGTGCTTCATAAAGTTTTACATTAGTTGTATTTATTTAGTCCTTTCAATTTAATATTTGTCTTATATTTATAATTAACTATTATTATTTATATAATCATTTATAATTTACTCTTTAATAATTATTTTAAAGTACGTAAAAAATGTTATTTATGTACTACAAATACTTTAAGAAATTTTTAAAACGCGCGAGGCGAGCTATCTACGGCATCGCCAGAGAAGGTGACATTTTCGGAAGAACGGGGGGGGAAAAACAGCTGCCACTTTCGACTACTGTTTACTCCTAATGCTGCGCGAATTAAGTAAACGGAAACTGCTCATTTCCATAACCGTCAAAGGGTTAAAGCCCTTATTTTTTTGTTTTTAGTGCTTATTTTTTGCTTTTAGTGCTTTTTTTAATGAACGCGCTATTTCGCCCCCGTACCAAAGCCGAAACTAAATAAACAACTTTTCTTCCTTACATGGAACGTCAGATGGTGAATCATACTCCCGGAAATAGCTTTTCCCCCTTTCTCCGCATTAACGTTACCTATGGTGCGCGCGAGAGTACAGACAGGTGCACGTCGTTCTATTGGTCAAAGAATTGCAAAAACCGCAGAAATTCCAATACATTCGGTATTCACCCAAATACTACACATGTTTGAATTTCTATCAAGATTTTAATAATTTACATTCTCGTTCCGCGTGGTCAGTTCATATTCGTGTTTATTATGATCGTTATGCTTATATTGTGAGCATATGTATGAATATTTATAATATAGTTGCAGTAGTAGCTACTGAAGTGTAGATAAACTTCCAAAAATGGGTTTATTTTTACACAAATTAGCTTTCTAAGGAATAATATTCGGAATGGCTTAAATAAAAGGAAAGTAATCGAATAGTCATAATAATATTTTTTTTTTTTTTTTTTCCCCAATACATTATACAGTACGGAGGTTGGGAGGTTCTCCCCTTTCTTCGCAAAATCTCTAATATTGAAGCAGCGAGTTTTTTTTTTTTTTTTTTTTTTTTTTGTCACTGTCCAATCTGGATTGAATAGGACTAAATAAAAGTTTTGCGGTCTACCCAACCCAAGCGAAGAATGATTCTATTCCGGAAATTTAACGGTCTGTTCAAAATTAGAATCAAAAACACCCCAGAGTAGTAAGTCTCTTTCTTTTCCTTTATTTAGTTCTTTATTGTCGGAATACCGGCAGCTGTTGATTCCGATTGCGTAATATCACGTATGGAAGAATTACGCCGCACGTATTGCGCAATAACGTTTGCGGTATTTTGCAGAGATAATTAATTTTGATGTTCAGTCTGAGATTTATTTATGAACACTTAAAAGAGTTTTACTGTTCTTTCTAAGCAGAATATTTCTCAGTTCCGTTGGTCTATTTTTATATGAAGCACATATCGGAATATCAAAATCATTTATTTAGCCGAGCAATCTAAAAAAGCGGCTACAATCTCCCCTCCTCCTTTTTTTCCACTTACGCTCGACTATACGGAATATTCGGCAATTTCCGAGTATGCGGGTTAGTTAAGCTTTTACTGTTAAAGGATGACTGCATGAAGCAATTTCCCGTCTCCTGATTTCAGAAATGTTCCTCTTTTTTACTTAAATTACTTTGCTTGGAATATATGTTAAGGGAAAACAGTTATGCAATGAAAATTTAGAAAATGTTCAGAATTTTGATTTAAGTTAAATTCTTTAATATATTAATATAGAGGGAAAAATAAATTGTATTTATTATTAGGTGCCAAGCGAATACAATTAATATGGCTTATTATTATTTATTTTTTATATTTTGAACTGAAATTTCATCATTAAATCTTGTAATATAGTTTAGTTCTGCATAGTTTTTTTTCCTCTCATTGTAAACGAATTCTGTAAATTGAACTGTCATTTAAAATTAAAAAAAAAAGTTAATTGTTTTCCATGGTTGAGGTAATGCTTATTCTTTTAATAAATATTGCATTGCTCATATTTTGAATTGCAAGTCTCATTTTTCTTTTAAGGTTATGCAGTTGTGTATAATGTAATTAGACAGGCGCTTATTTTTTTTCTTAAAATATGCTTGAAAAGTGCTTATTTTTTTAACTAAAATGTGGCTATGAACCCTGTTTAAAGAGTGATAAAGGCCCCGACCAAATACTGATGAAATGGATTGAATTGAATTATTAAGATACAGCAAAGCAGAGCTATTTGCCTAAAAGGAAAGATGCCTTTGTGAAGAACTTTTTAAGGGAAACCAGCTGGCATACACATCAGAAAACCCACGAAAACATTCAAACCCCAAAGCGAACTACCAGTATTCAGCAACTTTTACTGCTCGGCTGTTTGTGGGTCCTTTTGAAATGGAAGGAAATAACTTTCTTTAAAATTAATGTGAGAAATACCAAGATGTTTTGAAAAGTTGAATACTTTTTAATATACTTGCAGAATGCCTTAAGAAAAATAGCAAGCCATTAAGGGGAAAAAAAAAAAAAAAAATTTTTTTTTGAGTGAAATTTAGTATTTTTTCAATTTAAAATTTTTTAATTTTATATTTGATTCTTGCAATTTCAAAAATAAAATATTATTTGATTAAAATATGAATATTATTTTAAGAAATTAAATGTAGGGTGATAAAATTGCGTAAAGCGGGCACAATGGTAAAACCGTTTAAGGCAATGTATGCAAGTCATCCTAAATTAAAATGTTGAATATACTTCTCTCTTATTTATATATCTGACTCACCAGTTGGTCATACTTGTCTGTTCTGCTGGCCAGCATGACTCGAACTTGTATATACGAGGGCTATCCAGAAAGTAGATTACGTTTTGGAATAAAAAATAACAAAGTATAGGAAACAAATTTTATTATATACAGATGAAAGCCACACTCAAATACTACTTTTCTACATAGTCACCATACAAATTAAGGCATTTATCGTAGCGATGTACGAGCTTGGAAATTCCTTCGTCGAAAAATTCGGCCGCCTGCGCCTTCAACCACTTCGTTACCTCTTCTTGCAGCGTGCGTCGTCATCAAAACGCTGCATAGCCAGCCACTTCTTCATTGCTGGGAATAGGTGGAAGTCGCTCGGTGCCAGGTCGGGACTGTACGGCGGATGAGGAAACAACTTCCACTTAAAAGATTCAAGAACTTTACGAGTGACATTTGCCGTGTGGGGCCGGGGCGTTGTCGTGAATCAACAAGATCTTAGAGCTCAACATTCCTCTGCGCTTGTTTTGAATTGCTCTTCTGAGTTTTTGGAGAGTTGGCAATACCTTTGAGAGTTTATTGTAGTGCCTCTTTCCAGGAAGTCCACCAAAATTACACCTTTCCGTCCCAAAAAACAGTCGCCATCATCTTCCTTGCCGACATTGTTTGCATGCATTTCTTGGGTTTTTGGGGAGAACTTGTGTGCCCCCACTGCATTGATTGCAATTTCGTTTCACAGTTCACATGTTTCACCCATGTTTGTCACCAGTAACGATGCGATCGAGTAAAGAGTCACCATCCTTATGGTAAGCGTCCAAAAAAGTTCAACGCTGCAGCCATTCGCTGATTTTTGTGGTCCTCTGTCAAGATTTTTGGAATCCATCTTGCACAAAACTTGTGGTAACCAAGCTTTTCGCTGATGATTTCGTGCAACAAACTTCGCGAAATTTTTGTGGAAAACTCAAAGAAAGTTCCGTTATGTGAAATTTCGATTTTCACGGACTTTAGCATCGACTTTTTCGAGAAGTTCGGCGGTCACTATGCTGGGTCTCCCACTTCGATCTTCGTCGTGAACATTGGTTCGGCCATTTTGAAATCTTATGACCCACTCCACCTTCAGTGATAATGTTGTCCCCATACACTTCACGAAGCTGCCGATAGATTTCTATCGGTTTTACAGTTTTTTGCAGTCAGAAACCTTATTACTGAGCGCACCTCGCAGCTCGCGGGATTTTCAATTAACGCAGACATTTCAAACCGTCACAGTATCTGAACGGAGCACAGCACGAACCTCTCACTAGCACGGCTAGATGCAGACTGAGCTGCGCAAACGCTCTGACCCCAAGATGGCCGCGCTAGCCCCGCCCTAGCGGACACAGACGGAAACGTAATCTACTTCCTGGATGGCCCTCGTATAAAAAATATGCAGTATAAAATTTTATTTTAATTATTCAACAGTATACATTAACATTTCAACCAAACATTCAATACAGAAGAAATAGCTTGAAATCTAACTTATAAATAAAATATAATTTTTTTCTATGCAATTTTTTAAAGCAAGCTAAACAAACTGCCAGCTTGCCCTTGCAGTTATCACAATATGTTGTTACTTTCTTTGCTCTATTCGGGATGTACTGAGTACCTTTTAGACTTGCTATGCATTTATAGCATTCTTTGCGTTTCTTTCTCAACTTCCTCGCGGATCCTTCATATGAATTAAAAAAAATTTTTTTTTTTTTGTTATTATTACTTCACTAAGGGGATTCACAAAATGGACGGACTGCTAATTCAAGCGCCGCTGCACAAAAAAAAAAAAAAAAAAAAAAAAAAAGAATGAATATCTACACCACCGTCAACATGTTAATGAAATGAGAATTCCTTTCAGCAGGGTTAAAAAAAAAAAAAAAAAAATAGTTAGAAATAGCATCACCAATACGCATTTTATTTTCAGAAACCTGTAGTAAAAATTAAATTTTTGTTGACATCATGGAGCAGCTGTTATAAAACCTAAAAACACTCTCCGAGACTTTGTTTTCAGTGTGCTTGTTGCTCACAATGTCACTTAAGTTCACGAGATACACTTTGTTAGCAAAATTATTCTACCAAAACAGTAGTTGCTCTACGGAAATTTTGGACTTTAAAGGGGATTCTAGGAGGTCCAATGAATGTTAAAAACCTTCAGAAAATGATAACGAAATTTGAAGAAACAGGGTCATTTTCTGTTCATCCTGGAAGAGGAAGGAAACCTGTTTCGCCAGAAGCAGTACAGGAGGTTGCACTTCAGGTAGTCGAGGACACCAGTGTCTGGCGTATAGCACAGGTACTGGATAGACCATGTTCAACTGTCCACAGGATCTTTCAGAATATCCTCCAATATGACCTTGATAAATTTTCATTAGTTGCAGCGGTTGCATCCATATGATTTTGATGCTTGACTCCAGCTTCTTGCTCACTTTGAAGTCAATTCAGAATGGCCCTGCACTATCCTCTGGACAGGCAAAGTGCATTTTCATTTGGACAGTGCAGTGAATATTCACAACTGCCAAATTTGGGAATCAGAAAATCCATGCCCTGTTTTAGAGGTTCCATTGCGCTCACCAAAAGTGACAGTATGGTATGGATTTTCTGCATCATTTATTCTCAGCCCATACTTTTTCGAAGAGTTCCACAAGTCCAATGCATTATGTTAGAGAACAAAATTGTTGTGTCTCTCCAAGCACAATCTTTATGCAATTTGGAGCTCCATTACATATTACACAGTGTGTTACGAATGTTCTTAAATGTCATTTTACAGAAAAATAAGTTAATTAGCCTGCACTTTCATAATGTGTGGCCTCCCCAATCCTTAGACCTCAAACCATGCGATTTTTGGATTTGGAGAAATTTGAAACATCTTCTATCTTCTAAGTTGTGACAATCCAAGAACTCTACCTGATCTTAAAGCCAGCATTTTACGTTACATGCTGAACATTTCCCAGCATGCACTTTGTCAACTGTAGAACATGTCATCTTGAGATTTCAGATGGTAGCTGAAAATGCTGGCCATCATGTGAAACATGTTTTTTGTAACAAAATTTGTAAAGGTATGGCTGTATGTATAATTTTTTTTTTTTTTCACTGAAAGAAATTCTCATTCCTTGTCCACCACAAAATTTCACAATTTTCTGATCACTAGCAGCTTTGAAATACAGTTCTTTTATAACTTGCATCATTTACGAATAAAGGTTTCTCTTCCCAAACATTTAATGCAAGAATATAAAATAAAACTTTTTGCATATTTTATTGATAAAAAATGTACAAGTTTTTATATTCATAGAAATTTGGCAACATTTCACATTGTACACATTTTTAAACACAGTCTGATATATTTACTAACAAAGTTTACAGCAAATCAACATAAATGCAAAAATCAGTCTTCAAAATCATCTCCAATATGACTGAATGTGAATACATGTATAGTATAATTTATGTATGTAACTTTATAAATGCACTTATATTAAAGGTATTTATAAATGCACAATATTAAAGGTATTGAGGTTTCAAAGCTACCAAAGAATATTTGAAACACAATTTCATAACACTTAAAAAATAATAAATAAAATGAAGTTTGGGGCCTGATAAAAATATTTTATATAATCACCAAATTTAAGAATGGAAGATATTTAATTTGAGAAGTATACAAAATATGTCATATGTATGCTCCACATTTTAACAAATATATTAAATCACTGCAAACAGCTGCTATTAAGGTGTATTGTACTGTCCTTATGAATTTTAGATTAAATAGATACAGAAGTGAAAAATGATTTATAGAATGTATAAAATAATAAAACTAATTTTAAAACATCTCAAGTTACACTGATGGAATATAACTCAGGAACAAAATATCACAATGGAATATCAAGATCTATAGAACAATATGAATTTTAGACGGTCAAAAAAAAGGGCAAAATGACAATTAGGAATAAAAGCCTTTGGCTGACACAAAAAGGCATCAGATGGCAACATATACAAACAAATTTATTAAATGTTCACCTGCCATCTGGCAGTATTTGCCTAGGAGCACCATATGGAGTCATTCCTCGCTGAGACGCTCCTTGATTTGATCCAGATTGCAAACCTATAATAGTTTTCCCCATCTCCAACATTTCTTTTGTAAATAGTCTTTTATTTTCATCTGCAACTTTCACACCAATTGTGGGACCTTCATATCCTTTTTTCTTTGCCTATTAAAGATGCAGTCAATTAGTATTATGTATTCGTACATTACACAGTGCAACTTGCATGAAATTTAACATAATCATTTAAAAATTAAGATTACAGTTGCCTGGAATTTATTTGCATGATACAAACATAATAAAGTTTGATTTATTAATATGAAGAAAACTTCCTTTTTTTCCAAAGAGAGCATTAATATTTCAAAACAGCATCAATAATATTTATTTATAAAAATGTTCAAAATAAAATTTTCACACATTTGCAAATATGTTTAAATCATATTTTTCCAGTGATATGTTTCTTATTATCAAAATTATAGTATATTTACAAATGTTTAACATGTTGCATAAAATATTCTATTTTAATAAGAATATAAATTTGATAGCAGCAGTATGTGAATGATACGGTCTTGATGTACTCTGATAGCATATTTCAATCATGCTAACCATTCAACATGATTTTCACAGATTTCATAAAATGAAATACATCAAAACTCTAATTGTCCTTATCACCTCTTTATAAACAAATAAGATTAAGTATTATGCTCCTCTATATGTCCTCATTTCTATGGATTTAAATTAATGACCAGAAACAATTTTCAAAATCAGTCTGTGTGGCTACTGAACCTGAAGATTTTTTTTAAATGTGTGGCTTTTAAACAGTGAAAGCTTAAGATCTAATTCAAGATAAACAGAATAAATATTTCTGAAATGTTGAAAATCAATACAACAGTTACTTAGAATATCTAGATATGTGGATTGTGCCATTTAATCAATTATTTCATTTCGAATAGTTGAAATTTAAGAACTTATATCAAAACCAAATTATCCATTGAATACATGGTAAGGTAAAACAATTGACATTGATGGAATTTTATACAGTTCTAAAGATATTTGCAACTACACCAAGAATGAACAAAATTCAACTAATTTTGATGGCATCATTTCATTAAAAAAAAAAAAAAATATGAGCTCAGCACTTTAATTTTTCAAAGTGTCAAGTGTAATTCTTTGAGCTCCTGAAAATTAAACCGTTACTGTTTGCCTTATCACAATGCTAGTAGAAAAAGATTATTTTTCTGAATTCAAATGCAATGAATGGTCCAAAAGTGAGCTGTATTAAAAGTACAGTTTCTGTCATTTCAGTTATGTAGCATTCCATTCATCTTTGCTACAACAACTTTCAATTACATTTTAAAGTGAATCTGATCAATCAATACAATATTTATGATAATCAGAATATAATCTGTAAATATTTATGATTGTTCAGATTAAAAAATTTTGTTCAAATGAAGTTGATACCCTTATGGTACATGAATTGCAGAAATTCAATTAACTCTCTCACTGGCACAGTTGGATCTGCTTATGAAAAAAATTTATTTAAACATGATTTATGTGCTAAATTTGTATTAATTATTTTAGTCTCCATTTCTATAAACTTTAATTCATTAAAATATTATTTAGATCATTAAGAGAAAGAAGATAAAATATTTTTTTTAACATTTTGTGTGTTACCTTTATTTATTAAATATCATGTTCTTTGCACTTAAACCATAAAATTAAGTTCAAGAGCAATATCGCAAAATAATTTTAAATTGAGCATAGTTTTACAATTTGATATACAGTCTCACACACTGGAGATAAAAATATTTTTTCTGTACAACGCTGCCATTGCTCGCTTTGAAATCCTCGAATTTGTTAATCAAAAATTCGTTAGAGTTTATGAAATCGATAACAAAACAAATTCCAAATTTGGGCTTCCAGATGGCCATATTCGCAGTAGGGTTACATCATTCGAAATTTGCATGAAACATACATACATTTATGCAGAGTCTTTATTATCTAATTTCTTTAAATATGATAAAGGGTGATAATATGTGGTGGCAACAGTTTGAAAAGTGAAATGGACATTCAGAGTGATTCGAAGCAAAATCGCAAAACGAAAATAATAATCTCTCCATCCACAAAGCCCCTTTGGACTAATAAGTTTACCAATGACAAAAGCTTACCACTGAGTGGCAATGATGCCACTCAAAAGGTTATGCATTGTTGCAGTTTTTACTTATAGGTATAGTCAGATTCAAATAATTTAGGAAAATTATATCAAGACACAAGGATATTAAATATACATTTTAAATAACTTTTCCTTAGTATGTGAATTTGCATCTGAATGCCTATTTACGGTCTTACTTTTAAAGACCTGTATATATAAAAATTAATTTCACTGCATTATTTTAGCCTAATGAATAACCAGTTGTGAATTTGAAATAGCAAGAGGAGGGTATTGTTAAAAAGAAATGGCATTTTATTCATAAAATATATACGAATTTCTTTTAGCTCTGAAATATTTGTTGAAATAAAAATGATAAATAAACAAAATTATTTTCTCGCTTCCATTGTAAAAAATAAGTATCTGATTGCAAATCATTAATTTAAATCTATGGATATGCTGTGATTCCAGTTAAGATAACTGAAAGTCTACTGCACGATATAATTCAAAATAATGAATTTTCTTCCCAATATTTTTACATCAAATTACAGTCTTATGCACATAACAGTTATGATATTAAAACAAACTACTTTTGTTGCACATAACAGTTATGATATTAAAACAAACTACTTTTGTAACATAATTATAATCAATTTTGAATTCCTCATATACATGTAAACTATCTCTCAAAGTAAGATAGAGAATATTTAAATTATCATTTACAAAAGAATAAAATGCATCATAAATAACACTTAATAAACCATACAAAGATTATGGTATCAAAATTTGTTTAACAAGAATAATAAATAGTGTGTGTATTTAATTACGGCAAAGCCTCGAGGGCTATCTGCTTAAGGGGAGGGATGCCTTCATGGAGGACTTTCTAAGGAAAACTGGCTCGTATACATGTTACACATGGGGAAAGAATAATAAATAGAATTCAAAACTTATAGTGCCATAGATTGATATATAAACTAAAAGGTTTTAATGTAAACCAAACAAAATATTTTTATAATGAAATATCCATCCAAATCATATTAATATTTATAATTCATATATTGTAATTCCATAAATACAGTTACTCATAACATGTATGCTTAATAGTCTTTTACCAGTCACATAAAAAATGATGGTGATCACTATTGAGCAAAGACTAACTGAACTGAAACCAGTCAATGACAGAGCGAAGTCAAAATTTCATCGTCAATAAATAAAAATAATAAAGTCTTTAAAATTTCTGATGAAATTTATACATATTCCACTTGAATAAAGTTATTTGAAAATAGTTTTGACTTTTTGTGTTTTATGCGTTATGGAATTTCTTTAACCCTTCCCCAAAAATATGATAAATGGTTTACTTACCATTCCACCTAATGCAAATATACAATTGACAACCTGAAAAATATTTTTATTTTAAAAAATTATTTACAATAGAAATGAAAGCATACAATACACAAATGTACAAGTATAAAAATTCTTACTGTATATAAGTTTTTCCTTTCATATAAGTCATTTACTTGAAAAAGATCATGCCTTTTCAAACCATATGCTTCACAACCTTTTAAAAACATTTCTAGATTTTCCCGCTGAAACAAACAAATAATAATTATTTTTTAATGGATAACACAATTTATATGTGCATATATATTGCAAATGAAAACATTTCATTTACTAGTATGGTACAAAAATCATGATTATTATGGACATATCAAGAAACTAAGAAAATATATTTTAATCGTAAGTTTAACAATATAAATAATCTTGAGACTTTTTACGATCTAATGGTTGTGCACTTGACAATTATGCATTTGTAAAAAACATCCTTTATTTATCCTTTACCTGTTTCACCATTAAAAGGCACTACAAACTACCTTGCCTATCACTACTAGTCCCTCAGTTTCTTATTTTATTCTTTTTTCCTAACCTGGTTTCTTTTTCTCTCTTTTATTGACTGATTCTGGAAGATTGGTTGGTTAGTTCAACAATCTTTTTTTTTTTTTTTTGTATTTGTAATCTATTTCTTCTAAATTCTTTGTAATTTACTTGTCTTGTAATCAATCGAGTAAATGAAGTGCTTTTGTCCCCCTCATTTACTCAATCACAAGATGTGTTGAATTAACAAAAGGTTATTTTGTAATATATTTTTACATTTACAAATTGGGATCTTGCTACCAAAGAGATCCATTTGTTGGGATGTCCCCTGTTACATGTTGTTATTTTTTATTAAACACTTTGTATTGACATGGTTTATTATTTCTTTCACTCCTTTCTGACTATACAACTCATACAGGAATGCTTTTAGCGCCATCGTTAGATGATGTTTGGAAAAGTATTTTTTCCTAAGCTTCTTCATCAGAAGACAGTCTATGGCATCAGCTGAAGTTCTGCATATAACACTTAACATGCTGGTGTATGGGGGGAAGGTCACGAAATATAGCTGAACACATCAGTCATTTAGCAGTCTCCTCCCTCAGGATATTACTCAGAATGCATTACAGGGAGGCAACAGACAATGAACATGTGACGGAAGGGAAAGGTGATATGCAAACACAGTTGCACATAAGAATGGAGTTAACTGACAATTAAAGATGTTCTATACAGTGCCGGATTTACGTATAAGCTGCACAAGCTATAGGAGCCACTCCCAAAAATTTTAGCAATATCCCACATAAAAAGAATTTACTCATATCCCTCATAAAGGGCCCCACATCTCAAATAGCTTAGGGATCTTGTCAAATCTAAATCCGGTCCTGGTTCTATACCTAAAATGGCAATGAAGCAAATAAATACTAGAACCCTAAGTTATGTAGAAATGCAGATGATAACAAATACTATAAATATAAAATGAAATACTTATTCAACATACATACATAAGTACAACTTAATTAATAAAGTATGCATAACACAATATTAAATACACTATTCTAGCTCACATGGTACATTTATAATGTATTTTATCTTCCACATATGAGGGCAAAACAATGAAAAAATACTAAATCCACACCACATATCAGACACACTGGTTCAAAATGTACATGCATATCTGTGCTCACAGTCAGGACTGCTGTAATATGATAAGTATGGGCTGCTCTATTTTTGCAACAAAATGGCTCATTCTTGCTTAACGAGCATTTTTTAATTTGTAAGCCATTTATTTCTTAAAATTTTAAAAACCTCTTGAAGTCTCTCACAAACTGCAGAGAACTGAAACTTAGGGATATTGAATTAGCTAAATTGAGAGGCAACTGCGAATGGAATTTTACCAATAACATAGTTACTATATTAAAAAAAAAAAGCAAAACTTTAGAAGTTCTAAACTTATTTCAATATTTATACAATAGAATGATTTTATGAAAATTTTTGGTACTATTCCGTTTTGAGGGCCGTAAAAAAATTGCAGTGAAAATGTATGCGCTCATTTAACAGCGTGCAAAATCTAGCATACGCGCTGATTTCAGATTGCATACGTTTATATAAGTTTATACAGTTCTATATTTCTTAAGACACCATTGAAATACTAGTTTAATTTTTAAATACTTTTTTGATATCCTATGGATTTAACAATTTGTAAATTGCCTGTGACGAAAAGTCTACAATAGAATTTTGAGTAAAGTGCAGAATCACCTACTGCTTTATGTGTTTTTAAAAATTGCACATACTCGGTATCCATGTACATATCAACCTATTTTCACTTATAAAAAAATCCCAGAATTGCAAAAAAAAAATGGCACTGCGCACACCCTTGACTTTATCTATGTACACATCGACCTATTTTCACTTAAAAAGTAAAAGAAAATTGACAAAAATTCAGTTGTTTTTACCCTTGTAAAAAGTGGCAAACAAATAAGTCGACGATTCTGCACTTTACCGAGAATTTTTCATAGAAAAGGCATCATTCATTATAGAAAATTATGTTTGAACAACCAACGAGATGAAATTATGCTTTAGCGATAACTCAATAGTGATACATCCATTCAGTTATGTTTAGCAATTTTTATATAAATTATAATAATGATCTGAAATAGTTATTTACTCTTATGCTTCCATTCAGTCATGTTTAGCCTTTTTTATATAAATTATAATAAAAAATAAAAGTATTATATGAAATTAACTTTTCATCTAAATTAAAACATCAATCTTAGATAGTTATTTACTATTATACTTCCTTTCTTGCGTTAGGGTTACCGCTATTATTTTTGGCAGCACTGCCATCAACAATAGTTTGGCGATTTTTTATGGCCCTCAAAACCAAATAGTACCAAATTTTTTAATGAATTACATTTTCATAAACAATAACTCATTTTGCAAAATAACTGTTGATCTAGTGTATAAAAAAATCTAATGACAAATAACTTAAGAATCCATGTTAAGCATAGTTTAATGAGATGAGCTTGATACTAATTATATAATTTTTGAAAAGACATAGATATGAGTGTGTGCATATATACAGCTATGTAATTCCAGGATAATGAGTTCAACTTTGATTATTCTTCAACATCTATCAATTTTATGAAGATAAAATTAGAACATTGCCTCCTTGAGGCTGGTACTTAAATTGGCTTAGAATTTGAAGGAGAAATCAATGCAATTTCATTCATCAACTCACTGCAATACCAAGTAGACTTAAAACAACAAGAATCAAACTCTGAAGAGCCACATTGGGAGAAATGACGCACACGCTGAAAATTAAAGTTTTAAATACGTAAACACCACAGCGTTTCTTCTGGAAATTATGGTAATTATTTAGAATACTTTCTGATGATCCACAAATCTCTGCCAAAAGGTCAACTTGCTGGTGACTAATTTTTCGCCAAGCTAATGATGCAAAATGTTACAGCCATTTTCAAAATTGCTGCACACCAAAAACTGCATATAAGAACAGTCAATCAATAAAATTGAAAAAGCAAGAAACATCAGTAATAAAACACTTAATTTCCCAAGAAATCTTTCTTTTTGTACTGTTATTCTTCTATGTACACAGTGCTCTGTTTTTGTTTTAAAAAATCAGAGATTTGCACAAACTGAGCATGATACAGTTTCAGCACTGCACACTGGCCAAAACAGACATGTGTTACACACATACCTGAGTTTCTTTTTTACACTATTGCTCTCCCCATGAGCAAAACAATCTGCTTTCACTTAAAAAAACACAACAGAATTGCAAAAACTCGGCATTGCAAACTGGCCAAAACAGACCTGTGCTACAGTTATGCCTGAGTTGCTAAAAATACTTTTTGGTGACACAGTGGGTTGCCACATAACTATTTTGGTGATATACTGCTTTGCCTCAAGAATTCTTTTTGGTGGAGAGTAGATTATCAGAGTATTGTGCATTATGTTTTTAGCTTTAATTCCAATTATAAATGTAATTAATTGTTAAGATACATTGTAAAATAAATAAATTATTTTTGTAAACAATTCATAATGTACATAAATTTTATGAATAACTACCAATAATGCATATAAATTTTAACACAATAAGATATGCTTTTAAAATCTATAGCAAAAGATTTACACTTAAGTTTTTATCATTTTATGATAAAAATGAAACATTACTAAATTCTTACCTCTTTGAAAGGAGCTTTCATTGTATTTATCTTCGGAACAGCTCCGGGTAATAATTTGTTTATCAATCTAAAAAAGGTAAATTTTTATTTTAAGAATGTTTTTAATGATTTTACAGATGTACATACATAATTTGCAAGTTTTAGTTTCATAAATTTAGCTACTGGATTTATTATAATCAATCTTGGGCAATTAATAAGAAATGAGTTTTTAAAAAATAAATTTTAATTAACTTTTTATTTATGAACATAAAAAAATTACTTTGCAAATGTAAATTTACATAAAAATATTGTTTCCAAATCCAATACATTTTAATTAGATCTGTATAATTAAAAAGATTTTTACACTTTTTAAAAAAAATTTAAAATGTGCTGTCTATGAGCACAAATATCACAGCTTTTAAAGGAGGTAACTTTTCTGAACTGTTGATTTCTAACTTTTGTTGCAATTTATAGGTATTCTACAAATTGCAAGGTGGGAGGTTGTTTGAGTAATACCAGCTACAACACAACTCTGTTTAAATTTATGTTTTAAAAAAATTAGCTCTATCGTTTTTTGTAAGAATAATTGCTTCTAAATTTTGTAAATATCTGCAATTAAAGTGTTTTTTCATATTAAATCCATAGTTATTTTTGAATCCTTTAAAAACAGTATTATAAAGTTCCATTTTTGAAAGTCACCTTTTTAGAATTATTTAAACAGTTTAGCCAAGTATTAAAAAATTAGTATAACTTCCAAAATATTAATTTGCTTTAAAAAAATCTACATATAAAACAAGTTACTTTCCTTTAGATTTAAGCATATATCAGGCTTAATTTAGATACAATTCACAAATATAACACAGAATTTAAATGTTTGTAATATTTTTTGAACACTTTGGAAAATGAGCATCAATACTAAATAAGGTTCAGATACCTAATACAGATTCTAAATACTTTTTCTTTCTTAAACATCTAAATAAACTGCACAATATTATGCTTAATAATTCAAAATATAACTAATAATATTAGTTTTGAGAAACCACAATGATACAATTTCAAAGGAATTCCAAGTGTACCAAAATTCACTTTAAATGTGATATTCATTACTGAACTATTAATAATATGATTCTGATTGTAAAATGCATTAATACTTATTCAGATATTCTATTATTTTATGTTCTTTCACTAATTTCAGCTTTTAATAGCCTTATACTTTTATATTGAGAAATTCCTGTATAGGGAAGGAAATCTTTTTATTTATACAAGAACTTAATATGATGGAAGTAAAATTAATAATTAACATACATGGGATTAGTGTGAATAAACTTTATAATGTACCATACACTTAAGTAAAATACAATTAAATACAAACATTAATTGATAAACATTGCTTGATTCTTCATATAAAGTTCCGCAAATGTCTATACTGTATTCAAACAATTCAGATAAAAGTGTGATAAGATAAAACGGGATAAAAAGAAAAAACTACAATTCAGATAAAATTTTTAAAAAAAAAATTATTCTGAAATTTATTAGTGTATGGGGTAAATGCAATTTGTAATTCAATAAATTTCATTAACTGTAAGGAAACATTTTTCTTAGCAGATTCCTTTACCATAAGCTAAAAATTAAATCTTAAATACAATGACATACTGGGAGACACATTGAAAAACCAGGAGAGTTGGCAGTTATATTATACTGATAATATTACAAATATATTTATTTTTTTTAAATAAAATTAATTAAATATTCATGCAAAGCAACAGCTTCAATAATTTTTACATTATTTTGAAAGCTATCCACTTATATATTTGGGGGGAAAAAAGATAATTGTACTAAAATAATAAAAAAAAAAGTTAATGGTACTTTTCGATTAGCGAAATCTCAGCGAGGTGTCAAAATATTCGGTTAGAATAGAGTTAAGGTACCCCTTGTATTATGGCGAAGTTGTTATTTCATTTATGGTAGCCTGAGTAGTTGAATGTTATGGAAACCCTATTGTGATGTAAGCGGGTGCATGATTCTGGGAAATTTTGAATCATGAGATGTTTTGTGAGGTGTGTTGGTTTTATTGTTTAGACGGTAGAATGGCTGAATGTAATAATGAAGATTAATTTGAAGTTTCTGTACGATTTGGAACGAAAGGGGAAAAGAGCGTTAATTGACTGGTGTAAATAAAGGTTTACTTAGTAGCCATTATAAGTGTCCTGTGTGTAGGTAGTTACTAAGAAAACTATCAAAAGAAATATATACTGAAATAAAAATATCTGTTTAAATAAATGTAGTAAAAGCTTATCTCCAATGTGTATTTAATGCATACTATATTATCTGATTTTTATTTAATATATAATATACAATAAACTTGTATTTAATAATAATTTAATTTCTTTTTCTGAATAAATCATGAGCAATTTAAAAGGTAAGGTAAAAAGATTTTTTAACAGAATTTATGAATACAATCTGGGGGAAAATTGAACTAATAAACTGTTGGGATATTATTCTCCTGGTATCATTTAATTATATTTAAATACTATTTTTAACTCCCTAAATTAATATTGGACACACAATATTCATATTAAACTGATAGATTACATGCAGATATTGAACAAATCATGTTAGTGAACTGATTATCTGATTACTTCATAGCTGAATTTTTCAATAACTGAACAACCTAAACAATAGTGACTCCACATTAAATGCTGAAAATTACTTATTTTGGGGAAAAGCATGCCATTCATGATATTAAGCTATCTACTGCACTATTAGAGTCACCTTCAATGTTTGATAAATTTTCTAATTAATAAAATCACATAAAACATTAAAACTCTTAAATGTTGTCAGAGCAGAAATTTAATATCTGTAATCATTTTTGTTTTCATACGCATCTTTACATAAAAAAGGCCACATACATAAAGCCTTTCTTACAATTTTAACAAAAGAATAGCTATATTTCGCATAAATATGTACATGACAATTAAAATAGGGATCTATTTCAAATGTGAATTTTATTTTAACAAAATGAAATTTATTTATTAAAAAATATATGAAAAGATCGAATTTATAATCTTAATTTATCACTCAGATTAAAAGCAATTCTGTTTAGAAAACAGGCTCCATACTTACGTGCACAATGCTGTTCCATCTTTTAACACATCTGCAAAATCAAACTGATCTTTTACGCCACCATCATGATTCCGAGGGTCAAGATTTAACTTTGTGACATCTCTGATCCAATCTAGAGCAACAAGGGCTTGCTTTAAGTCAAATTTTGCTTGAGCCTACAAACAAGCCAAACAATGTTCTTCATCAACATTACAAGAATAAGTTTCTGCACTCCAAAACAATATTTAACATGCATAGGTAAATTTCATCCGTTAAAAATGACATCAGATTATAATAAAAGTTCTCATACTTTAATAGCTATGCATAATCTTGAAAATATTATACTAGGATTATAGTTAATTGTGAATACTTTTTATATAAATTTCTTACTGCATTTAATAAAACTAATGGTTAATCTGTTATTAAAAATTAAAATATATTTGGACAAACTTTACATGTATTAGCTAAATTTTTTTAAAGAAATATTATCACAAAAGCATCTTGCTTATGTATGAAATAAATTAACCTTAATTGACTGAAAAGACAGTTTTATAGCACCTTGAATTCTTAAGCAACTCAGATTTTCCTTTTCCTATGAAATAGAATTAATAAAAAACAATGTTTTTCAAAAATAAATAATTATTAGTGAAAGAACAGGTGATATTTTATTAAAAGTTTTTTGAATATTTATTTTTAAGCATATAAAATTAATATATTTAGAAATTATTTAATAAATTAATATACAGGGTGTTTATAAAGTCCCAGACCCATTATGATGTGTAATAACTCATAAAATAATGAAGATATAAACAAACTTATGGCATTTATTGATGGAATAACTTATATATTTCCTTTCAGGTTGATATCTTTACTTTTGTAAATATCGTTTGCGCATGTAGTAATTTCAGATAATTTCATTTCCAGCTAAAGATCTGTACTTTTCTAAATATTGTCTGCTTATAATTACATTTTCTCTTTGTGTTTTGGGCAACTATTGCAATGTTATGTTTACTTTTGATGTGTTTGTTCTAGTACTTTTGTATGTGATGTTTTATTCCAGAATTTATGCCAGAATTACAACCGCAATAGCCTCTGTGGATGCCGACATGCTTGCCTGGCGTGAAATTGAACATAGACTTGAAATTCTCCGTGCAACGAAGATGGAAGTTCATTGACAAGGGTCATGAAACTTTTTGAGTCTGACCATTTATGTTATTAATTTTAATCTATCTTTATTATTTTATGAGTTATTAAACATCAAAATGTGTCTGGGACTTTATAAGCACCCTGTATATTGAACTAATATTCATAATATATATTAAATATGGCTTATGTAATAAATTATTGCTCAATGATTTTTTTACGACAAACAAGCTGAGTAGAATAAGAGGGTAGACTACAATTTTTGAGAGTTTTCTTTAAAATATTAATTTTCAAATTTTTACATGAATACCATCAATATGTTAAAGGAGTATTAAAATGAAAACTGTAAAAGTACTTTTTTCAATTTTTTATTTTTCCTTGCTTCAAGCTATTTTGATTCTCAGAATACAGAAGATAACAAATAGGATGCTTTGAATTTCTTACATTTATTGTTCACAGTATATACTAAAAATATTTATCAGTCTTTGCTTATTAAGTATTTAAAACTCTTACAGAATTCTGAAATTTCAAAAAATCAAAAATTATGGTGATGCATCCCTAATTAAATTTCAAATTCACATAAAAAATACTGAGATTAGCTAAAATTTTTACGATATTAATTAGTTACTTTAGAACTTTTTCAAATTTAGGTTCACTTTTTAAATTTAAAAATAAAATCTTGCATTCTGAAAAAAATTTTAGCATTTTTTATAATTTCTTGTAAATTTAAAATAAAAATTTACAGCAAAGTTTTAACCAGTTCAAATAAAATTAAAAACTATCTGCTCTTTTCACACATCTTTCATATAGTTCCTTTAAAAAATAATATGTATTTTCCCCTCTTTTGCTATTACATGGAAATTGGTTGTTGTTATAATGAGAACAAACACTGTAGTTGTACTATATTTTAATATTATTGAGGGTATCAGCTATAGCTTGTGTAGCTTATACATAAATCCTGCACTGGTAAAATCATCTATATGCTAATATTATAGTAATATAAATATTAATAACAAATTTCTGAAAATTTATATAATTATTTTATGGAATTAAAACTTGATTACACCTTCTTTCTAATAAAATATATAAAGTCTTAGCTTCCATGCATACTTTTTTAACAAAAATACCCAATTTATAATGATTATATAGGATGCATTTTAATGAAAGGCAGATTATTTGTAAATAAGTTTACCACTTTCTTACAGCAAAAGTAACAACTATGAATCATGCATTTAATCAATTCCTTGTATAATTCAACAAATAAAACTGACGACTTACCATTTACTAAATTATTTTTAAAAATTAACACGCATCAATTTGAATAATTCCACACACTTAATAGCATGCTATTTTTTCTTATTAATTTTATATAGGATTATAAAACATTGTTTCGGAAAGCTCAAAATAACAACAGCAACAAAATTTATGAAATATTTCTTATAATTTTAACCTAATTGAATAAGAATAAACAATATTCATCTTGAAAACAACATTTTTAAGTTTTTATTTTTAAGCTTGGATGCGATTAACAGAATTAACATTATCCGGTTACTATGATTTGATAGTTTTTATGATTTACAGCGATGCCGTATTTCTGAGCATGACACACTTGTTAAGAAAAATTATACATACTTTTAAAAATATTACCTTTAATTTACAATCTCATCTAAAATCGGTACAATGTGTATACTATGAAACAAAACCACGCGCTGAAACTCCTGCTCTTATAACATGGTTCGCAGCGGCACTGTACTAACACAGCCACCTGTTAACATATCTAAATACCAAAACTTAATAAATTTCAGAAAATTTTACCTTTAGCATACAGTCCCGGCTAAGACCATACGCTGGTCCTTGATATGCCATGGTGAAATTATTTTTAGTCCACTTTTTGAAATGACCGCGAGCTATAAAAGTGTTCCGTTTCAATACACTTCGCAACTTTCACACTTTTCGAGACTAGCAGGAAAAATTCGCTACGCTTACAGAGGTTCAGGCGCAGGCATGGGAGGGGTCGACATAGATGGCGACACTGTTCCCCAAAACTTAGGAAAGTTTCTGATGTAGAAGAGCAGTGAGACTGGAAGCTGCTAAAAAGTTGAATTCATTGGGAATGTTTGCTTGCTCATATGTTGCGATAAAGAATACTTTTAATCAGAATTTTCAATAAATATTTCTTATTTATATAATTACAAGCATAAATTCAATTTGAAGATTTTAAATGTAATATATAAATAACACAGGAAAACGGTGCATTGAAGAAACTAATTGTAATTAAAATTTTAAATAAAAATTCGCAATAATTCAATTTTACTAGGAGATAATTAATGTACTCATAGTATACGACATTATATAAAATTTCCAACTGTTAATGGAAATCCCCTGTTTTAATTGTTAGGGTGGAATCAGGGTCGGCGTTAGGCATTTTGCCGCCCGCGAGTTCTATTTAGGCTGCCCGGTGCCTTCCTAAATTCTAAAAATTTTGCCTTCCCTAAATTTTGCTACTTGGAGTTCTCTAAATTGTGAAAATTTTGCTTCCCATAAATTCTGCCGCTCAGTGCAGCCGCACCGTTTGCACTGGCTGTAGCGCCGTTTAAGAAAAGATAAAAATTGGTACACTAATAGGTCAACGATGCGCAAACCTTCGTTCTTTAGCGTTTACGAATGGATTGCCAAAATTTCCAATTATTAATGCTTAATTTTTATTTCTATGTTTCCTACGCACTGTTTCTTAGTTTGATGAATCTTCTGACATTTTTAATTATCAAATATAATGTATCAAATGTAAGGCCGAGGAAAGTAAAGTAAATCCTTCTTAAAAAAATTAAATTTTCAGTCGTGATCCATAAAGATGGAGTACCAAAATGTTAATTTGCATTTGCTGCCAGGTTCATAAAATCTAATCAATTCATTTTAGCTAAAAATCATAACTTGTCAAATGTATAATTTGTTGCAATAAAAATTTAAATCTTTGACTTCTAACATATTTACTATTTGGAGGTATAATTATTTCAGCATAAAAATGAATTGTAAACTTCAGCTCGATTGGAATTTTTCGTCTCAGATAACTCAAGGTTGGTCACTAACTATTTTATTGACAATGAAAGTATAAAATGAAATTGTATTTGCTCTGGCAGCAACATTTGGCCAAGCTACATTTCATTGATTGGGAAGAAATCAGAGATAGAATTCCAGGGGTCTCAGAATTTTTCGTCTACCACCACCATTTCCGTAAACATTCATACCGTCGAACTATAAGTGCTCCCAAGTTCAAAGGCATTTCGTATGGTAGAGGCTTGTTTTAGTTTGGTTTATGTGATATACGACAAATCCTCGACAGGAGGCTAGTCAGCCTATCTGCCTAAGAGGAGGGGTGCCTTTGTGGAGGACTTTTTGAGAGAAACTGGCTCATATACACGTTACACATGGAGAAAACTACGAAAACGCCATGCAGCCAGCCCGTTCGCGGGATTCGAACCTCGGACCGAACTACCAATGTTCAGCGACTTTACCACGCTGCCGCTGGTGGGCCCAAATGGCAGAGGCCAGTGTACTAATACAAGATATATGAATGCATTTGTTTAATCTGCTATAATACATTTACATCTCCACTAGCTGAAATAGGTGTTGTACTGAGTGAAATACTTATCATTTTTAGAAAAGAGATGAAAGCAACAACCGATGTATAATTTATTTTATTCGCCTTAGTTTCTTAACTAATAATTAGTATTCTTAATTTAATTTTGTTAACATGTACATAATTTTTTATGTAATAATATGTAATGGAAAAAGGCATTTTAATGTTTTTGTTTTCTATTATATGCTTTAGTTATTGATGGAAAAAGAAAATCTGATTGGAGAAAGTGATGTTATGTACATAAAACAATATACCTTTCTGATTAAGGAAGAATGAAATCAGTAAAAATAGTTAAATGTGTAAATATAAAAAATGTGAAAAAAAATCCTATTTTTAACTCCTATTATTAACTAAAAATCCTATTATTAACTAAAAAGGAAAAAAAGAATTTAAAAAACTTTGCGACCATCTACTTATCCCCCCCAAATAAAAGAGAGCGAATATATTCGATGGGAAATATTTTTTCATTATTCTTTTTTCATGAACAAGTACCTGTATAATCTCAGGCATTCACCCTTGAGTTTTAGGTTACTTCCAAAATATTCGATGTTTCTGGAAATCTTTTCTTTGCGAGCAAGTTACTTTAAAGTATTCTTTTTGCATAGCAGAATCACTCAATTATGAAGTCGAAATTTTATAAGGTTTCATTTTACTTCTATTAGCATATTTATTTGCAGTTGTTCTACTTCTTCTAGCAGTATACTATATTATTTTTCAGCTGAATTAAACTTAAAGCATTCAGAACCAAAGCAAGGCAATTCCCCAACAGTATTAATAATTACAACCTGGATAAGAAGTTTAAACTGTATATAAAGAAATCAAAATTTAAATAAGAATTCATCAATAGAATAAATAAGCTCGAAAAATAAAAACACGAAAAGGAAATATATATATAATAAATTACAAAAAATATATAAATTAATTTTTTGATTATATAATTATTAATCATAATAATATTTTCTGATTTTATAAATTAATTTAAATTATTATGATTATAATTAATCTAATTATATAAATTAATCCCTTTTCTGAAACCCTAATTCAAAACTCATCAGGGGAAAACGAATTAAAGTTTCATAAAAGTCGATTAATATGTTTCGAAAACTTGTTTCGTTCTTCTGGTTCATTTGAGATCATTTGAGATCAAAAACCGAAAAAAGAATTTTTCAGATGAATATGCAGAGAAATACGGTATTTAAAAGTCCCGCCATAATGATAGACTTCAAAGCAAACATTACTGGAAACAAAAAATGTAGTTGCGATTAACCACGCATCGAGTCATTCTCCAGAATCGAGCCTGTGTCTCCTAGAATCGCAGCCTGGTAAAAAATATAATATTAATAGAACTCTGAATTCCAACTAATGCAGTTTGAATGAGAAATTGCAATTTTCAATACATAATAAATTCATCTTCAATAATTATAAATCTAACTCCAAAAGTAAGATTAAAAATATCTTCCTAAATTCACATAACCATGAAAGTTTATCAGATTAGCAATGCACTGAACATTCGCTTTATGGCTAAAAGAGCTGCATAAAAATTAAGCGAAGTCAAAGGGTATTTTAAGATTTAATACGTTTTAAGTAGACGGATGAATACATAAGAATAAGTAATGAATTAATGAACGCATATACTAAATATGAGTGCATTCCCAGGTAAAGCATCGTCATCTTTCGAATGTTCAGCCGTTTGCTTGGCGCAAAAGTTTTTAAAGCATATTAAACTGCGCACTGATTTCATGCAGTAATAAAATCTAAACTGTTCTTAATATTCAGATCTCGATTAGACTGGCTGTATCTTAAGAATGGCTTCAAGCCTCTCCAAAAATATAAGGCAAGTAAAAAAATTATTCAGTCACAAAGGCCCTTAAGGGTAACATATTACTTCCTTGTACGAAGTAAAAAAGAAGCATTGTAATCACGAAAATTTTCAGGCATCATATTCAACGAAAATATCCATTTTGACCGCTGTCGAATGCAATTTAGCGATGTTTTTGCGTGACATATGTACGTAAGGACAGAATAAAAGACTCTTTTTCCCCAAAAAAATTATAAAACTGAATTTTGAAGAGAATTTTTCGTGGCTTCTGTACGTACGTATTTCGCATAACTGAAAAATGAGTAGCCTCAGAACGTTGAAATTTCGTATATAGGACTGCTATAACATGTAGATGTGCACCTTGTAATTTAGTTGCAATCGGTCGCACCAAAACGTATATAAATATATGTTATATATATATATATATATATCCACTCTGTTAACTGGCTCAGTAATCTCACTTTCTTTACTCTTATATGTTTGTAAGTTGTGCATATTTTGCTTTAAAAATGATTGAATTATGTTGTTCTTAGCTTTCGGTTAAGGTTTTGGCTAATCTTTAGAATATGGTAACAGGTAGTTTGGCAACATTTTGGTAAGGCGATAAAGGTTACTAGCTAGGACTTTAGCAATAATCTGAGAATTACACAGTTCGAATCACAGATTATTTTGTCTCAGAGAAATCAGAGATCATGAGACATGTCATGTGACATTTTCCGGAAAATTCCGATCGTGATTTTAGCTAATAAGCACTTAGAAACAATTTCGCTGCTAAAGTGCAGAATTGCCCACTTATTTGTTTGGAGCTTTTTACAAGAGTAAGAAGAATTGGATTTTTGTCAATTTTCTTTGACTTTTTAAGTGAAAATAGGTCGATGTGTACATGGATAAAGTCAAGCGTGTGCGCAATGCCATTTTTGTGCAATTATGGGATTTTTATTTTTACGTGAAAATAGGTCGACGTGTACATGGATATCACGTATGTGCAATTCTTAAAAACGCGCGAAGCAGTGGGCGATTCTGCACTTTCTCCCAATTTCGCACCTAATCTTCGTCATGATTAAGCACTTTTGTTCCATAAAAGTTCTAGCATAAGCGTAATTCGGCTAGCAGATTGTTGGAAAAAATTTTGAATTGAATTGAGTAAAAAAAAAAATAAATAAATAAAAAAAAAAAAACATGCCTTTACTTCGTAAAAACAAAATGGCGTTGAAAAAAAAAAAAAAAAAAAAAAAAAACTAGCAAGTTGCTGTAGCAGGGTTGGTCGCCAAATTTTCGCCAAAAAATTGCCAAGTTACCATAATGTAAAGATTCACCAAGGTTTTTATGGCTTTAGTAAATCTGCATGCAATATTTGTGGAGTTATCAATAATTTAAAAGTTGTCCAAGTGCAGTTAAGCCTAATGAATTTAGCGATGGCGGGCATGTTTGTTTACATTCCAAACTTGGCAAAATAGCGGATTTGTTGCCAATCTACAGAAACTAAGCTTCGGAACAACAAAGATAACGCCTTCTTTTATTATTATTATTATTATTATTTCAA